AATCAAAACATGAAATTATGATTTGTCGGGACACACATGCAGATTAAAATAAAATGTATTTATCAGCCCGCCACCGCAGCCAGAGGATAACACTATATAGGGTTCCAAACAGTTCTAGCAATTGGGCCCCTGCACTAAAAATACTCTAAAGGCACATTGCGAGAAATCGTCAGCCAGCCTCTCTCGATCTGCCGGGAGGCTTTCGCACTCTGTACCAACGCCATATTCAGTCAAGGCGAGTCCACGCTACGGGAAAGCACAGAAAGCGTCCCCACTGTTGATTGCCATTTACAAGTCCGCAATTTAAGATGATATCTCTTTCCCTAAAGGAACGATATTGCATTAACAATGTGGCATTAAGTAATTGAGTTTCTAGTAATATCCTTTGCATTAGAAGAATAGGATTACCCAAAAACTTGCCTGCTGATTTAAGGGTCCACAGGTTCTTCTTTTACCTCCGAGGCCTCTGGAGAAGGGCTAGGAAACAGAGGATTTCCCTCCAGGCTACCTGTGCAAGGCCCAAAGGCTGCCCCTGCCTGGCTTACAGCAGGGGCTCTGCCCCTGGGGCGCGGAAGGTGATGGTAACATGAGCCGGCTCCCACTGCAAATAGCAACAGGCCTGCCATGTGTGAAAGCCCAAATATAGACCTGCCTAGGCTGTCTTGCACTTCTTAGTGCTCAAGTGTCACCAGGAGGGGTCACATGCTGTCCCCAGAGTTTCTTCATTTACTTGGATTTGAGGCCCATAGCTCCACAGCGCTGCTCGGAGGGCCAGTCGTGTGCAGAGGGCTGGAGGCCATGCAGCCCATGCAGAGAGTGAAGGCGTCTGAGAGTCCCCGAGCTGGGCAGCTTCCACCTACGCCCATGGTCTTTTCTCGAATTGTTTTGAACAAGCACAGCTCTGAAAGTAATCAAATGCAACTTCATTTTTTTTTTTTTTCTTCCACCATTCCTTTCACATGTACTCACTGTGGGAATTATTCCCCTCTCTGGATAAAAAAACAAAACAAAACAAAACAAAACCAGCACACCCATGACTTTCTGCTCCCTCTTAGGTGACATTCAGTCCTAGGGTCATTTGAAGGCATAGTCTCCATTCAGTAACTGAAGGTACCATCCAGAATATTAACGCAAAAGTCAAACTTAGCTTAGCCAGTATCAGAATCTTCTCCCCTACCCAGCCTGGGCCTCTTTAGCTGGAAGTCTGCCCTGGGAAAGGAGGAATGAGGTCGGTCTCTTCTCCCCACACCTCCTCCCTGAGCTGCTGGTGGAATGCCAGGGCGGGAGGCGCCAAGGTGATAAGACAGCTCCTAATGGAGTTGATGCCACAGTGGGTGCTAGCTTCAGGCTCTGGGCTGATAGGTGCTTACAGCTCTCTATTGTGCACCCTCCTTCCCTCTTTGTCTCCCTCCTTGTCTCCTGGGGAGTTTTTGTACATCTCTGGCGTTTCCCATTATGGAGACCTTTCCCTTGAGTTCTCACCAGGCTGAGAACCTTTTTCTTCCAGGGGGTCCCTCGCATTCCCCTTCTAGGCCCTGCTGGACCACCTTCACGATCACTCAAATGACGTCTCCTTACCCATGCTGTTGACTCTCTTAGGCAGGCTCTGACAATTCCTTGCTGACTCTGTCATTCTGCTGGCTCAGGAGGCAGACCCATTCTTGGTCCCTGCAAACTCTGGGAGGCAGTCAGACCCAATGCAGCCACCTCCCCTGGCTCTGCCATCAAAGCAGCCAATCCACTCACCTCAGGCCACCATTGGCCCATCTGCAGGAGATACAGCAAGCTCTCTGAAGGGTCCCTTTGAAGATCCCTCACTGGGCTTGGGGATAGAGGACAGGACTTCCAACCGTCCCCGTAGCCCACCAAGTGTTCTCCAGAGAAACTGCTCCACCAGTTTCCCTCCTGAGAGCATGAATTGGGTTCTGGACCATTCCCTTGAAAAGTTTGCTTATGGTGATTTGATCTCAGAATTTTACATCCACTGTTTTTTTTTTTTTTCATCCATTGCTTTTTAAATCTCAATCAAAATGTCATTTGAAAAATATCATTGCTGCCAGGTATCTATAAAATAAAAATATTAGAGGCACAATAAAATATCAAAAGCAAAAAAATTGTAAGAAAAAATTTATGCAAAGAGGTATGTACAAGAATGTTCACCACAGCATTATGTATGTTTGCAGAAAATAGAGATTAATCTATGTCTATCAGTATAGAATTTGTTAAATCACAATACAGTCAACTCAATATTGACAAGTATTAAAATAATCATGTAGATGTCTATCTTTTATGTGGAAAAGACCAACGATAATATCTGTAAGTAGAAAAAGAGTGTAAGGGGCGCCTGGGTGGCTCAGTCATTAAGTGTCTGCCTTCGGCTCAGGTCATGGTCCCAGGTTCCTGGGGTCGAGCCCCGCATTGGGCTCCCTGCTCCGTGGGAAGCCTGCTTCTCCCTCGCCCACTCCCCCTGCTTGTGTTCCTTCTCTCGCTGTATCTCTCTCTGTCAAATAAATAAAATCTTTAAAAAAAAGTGTAAAATATCATTACAGCATAATCATATATATGTTAGAAAATAAATACATAATATAGGTATATAAACATATTGTATATAACATAATATACAATATAAATATATAATATATAGTATAATATATAATACAAATATACAATATGATATTGTATATAATAGTACACATAAAATGAGAGCACAGTTTAACTCTTGAGTTACTTTACTTTTTTCTTTACATCTTTAATGGTACCTATTTTAATAACAATTATATATACACCTCTTATTAATTTTTAAAAATATTTTTATTGAAAAATAATACATGGTATTTGGCTTAGAAAAAGGCCAATATTACCCAAGAACTATAAAGTGAATATAAAGCAGGCATGTATGCTGGTAACAACAATTATTAGGTTTGGTGGGTCCTTGCCCTTATTTTTTTCTAAGAATGTACAAACATCCTTCCCTCACACAAAAATAGAAATTACTTTTATAATTAGAAAGCCTGCTAGTGTCATTGTTTAAAAAAGATTTTATTTATTTGTCAGAGAGAGAGAGTGCATGAGCACAAGCAGGGGAGGGGCTGAGGGAGAAGCAGGCTCCAGCTGAGCAAGGAACCCAATGCAGGACTGGATCCCAGGCCCTTGAGATCATGACCTGAGCCGAAGACAGACCCTTCACCAACTGAGCCACCCAGGCGCCCCTGCTAGTGTCATTTTGATAAGGCAAATAAGTTAGAAAGACTACTAAAAAGGATAAAATAATACAAAACAAATACAGTAAAAAGACATACTATAAAAAATATACAAAAAAGATTAAAACAGACTTAAAGAATTATCAGTAAATCACATTAGCTAAGATAATATATTAAAAAATGGTTCGAGGAAAAATAAATCCCTTCAACTAACAGGTTCTCTCTCCAAGAGGACTGCCAAGAACAGCAGTTCTGAGTCCAAGGCCCCATAGCCCCACACAGGCATTAAAGGGGGTGGGGGGAGCTGAGACAAGCAACTTTAGATCTCAAAGCTACATTCCACAGACGTTTCTAGATACCCAGGGATCATCTTCAGTGGCGACAGATGCCCTAACCATTGCCCAGGCTGGCCCTAGTTTCTTGTTGTTTTCCTTTGGGCGTAACAGCAACGGCGAAGCTGATTTCCGGCTTCCCCAGTTCCAAACCTTCAAAAGCTTCCACCGGTTCCTGAATCTAACCCTCTGGAGCCCAGTCTCGGAGAAGGGCTCCTCCTCCGGGCTTTCGGGGCATCTCCCCCCACCTCTCTTCCCTGGACAGCCTCCCCCCCATGCACTCACAGGACAGAAGCTGACCTGCACTGTGTTTCCGGGTGCGCACGGTGCCTTTCCCGCACACAGACCACGGCTGTCTTAGTAACCCTCTAAGTCACATCCCACCCCCACGTGCCAATTATATTTCCCCATCTCCTTCAACAGGTCTTGGGGAGCCATGTGGTCTTCTTAGCCCGCGTGTGTATGTTAGGACAAGGTTCTTTGTGGGGTCTCCGTCTCCTTGGCTGTAAAAAGAAGAGTAGGAACACACTGTATGTAAACATGCGGTCTGGGACCTGGGATGCTTTGAGGACAGAGAGACATCTTTTATGTACGCCCCCAGACCTGAACACAGTAGACACTCCATGAAGGCTTGCTGAATCGGTAGCAACAGATGCGTGGCTTTTACCCAGTGGTTGGCGCTTAGAGGCCCTCAGCCAATAACTCCTACGTTTGATTTAACGTTTGGTCTCCAGCAAGTTTGCACCGTCCCTGGGCGCAGGAACCCTCCGGTATCCACGGGCGCCCTAGTGAGCAAGGACCGAATCAGCCGGCCCCGGTTCTCAGGAGTTTCGCAGTTTAGCGCAGGAGGCTAAGACGGTAATTCGTTCATGTAAGGAACACTTTTCCTACGTCAGTAGGTACAAAGGTGGAAAAGGTGAGGCAAGAG